TATATATATATATATATATATAAGGAATGACCGAAAGTTATTAGACGAGTCAGGACCTTTCCTAGGGGTGTTAAATAATGAGTACCACACCCTACCCACGGGGGAATTCAAACTCGTGACCAGGTGACTTACGACCTTCAGAGAAGCTGCTCTACCAACAGACCACAATATGCGCACAAACGCATGCACACACGCACGCGCGCGCACATACACACAGATATATATTCACCTATTGTCTTATCGGCAGATTAATTCTCAAATCCGTATAAAATGTAAGTTCGGGCAAACAATTTTTCTGAAGTACGAGACTAAAAATTAGCCAACATTTATCGCGTGAAGGACGACTACAACATGCAGCATCTTTGCCCATAAACTTTTTTATTTTTAACTTTGCCCATAAACTTAATAACATTGAATTCAGCTATAAAAAATAAAAAAATAAAAACGCAAGCAGAAAAATTATATATTACTTCTCAATCAAGCATGTCGCTTTATATATGAACAGTGAAAGATTTTTGCATATCAATTATATATTTTATTTTTTATAAACGTTTAAAATGTTTTTTTGTTGTATATTCCATGTGATTTAAACATTTAGTTTTCATTTTATTTAGTTAAAAGTATATAATTGAATACTAAGGGTCGGTTACTGATAAGCTGATTAAAAAAAATCTGTTGATAAGCTAGGTGCGCTAGCTATTACAAATTTTTATTTTTTTTAGAAAAGTCAGACCTCTGCCACAAAGCTGCCACCGCACCTAATAGGTACGGAGTGAAAACATTATTTTCTGCGTTTTGAAAACACATAAGCTGTCAAAACACAGTTTATCCAAACAGGTCAGGTGCGTTTTCAAGGTGCGTTTTCAAAACAAAACGTCACCGCACCAAATAAACTACCCCAAATGGACCCTAAATATACAATTAATGAGTGTAAAATTGCATATTTCTTAAGTAAAATTTACATATATACATATCACACAATGCTTCTGCATTTACTTATCTACCATCTAAACCTTTACATTTACACTCATAGATTTTTGATGTGGCAAGTGTACACATGAAAAGATAGATTTCAGTTTTAAAAAATAAATAACATTGTGGAGTGAGAGGGTTTATTCGAGGCAGTGAAATGAGTAGGATTAGTGAAATGAGTACATTGTGGAATGAGTACATTGTGGTTTTTTGGCACTCATGAAGGTAATTCGAGGCAGGTAGCAATAGATAAGCTCGAGGGGATATACAATAAAATGAGGTAGGTGATCAATCCATCTTATGGGTACACTCCAAGCAAAAGAAGCTAAATCTAAATATGCAGGAGTTCCACCTTTAACCCATATTAACCCCAGTCCAACCACTGGGGTCGCGGGGTCGCGTCTAATTCTTCAATAATACATGGCTTGTTCTATTCGGAAAACATCATTTAATTTACAAATTAATAGATTATTATTGCTCACATTGTCATATATTTCAAAAATTATATTAATATACATAAGTGTATTTCCAAAAAAATTTAAAATTATAATCTTCCTTATATAATAAGATACCAAATTAATAATTATATTACTTTAATATATTTTCATAACTATATTTCCAAAAAATATTTAAAATTATAGTCTTGTTAATATACTAAAATACCAAATTAATCATTATACTATTCTAATATAATACATAAGTATATTTCCAAAAAAATTTAAGCATGTAGTTCTCTTAGTGTACTAAAATACCAAATCATTAATTATATCATTTTAATTTATTTCACAAAATGTATTTCCAAAATTTCATTAAAATAAACTCTTCTTACTATACTAAAATATCAATTCAATAATTATATTTCAAAATATCAAATTAGCAATTACTTCGTTTAAAAAAATACTTGAATTATTGCCCCCGTTTATAACGGAGACAATGTCGCCCCCAAAATCATTTTTTAAACACCATTTTATTAAAAAAAAAAAATTTTTACTCAATCTTAAAAATCTAATCTTTTTTCTTCCTCTATTTATGCCACCACACACCAAGGCCATAGCCACTGATCCCATTGCTCTTCAGTGATCAATGGCTTCCTCCCTTCGTTACACTTCCTTCGCCCTCCTCCTTCTCCTTTCACTCACCTCCACTGCTCAGCTCACCACCAACTTCTACTCCACCTCCTGCTCTAAACTATTCTCCACCATCAAACCAGTCGTACAGTCCGCCATTACCAAGGAGAAGCGCATCGGTGCCTCCCTTCTTCGCCTCTTCTTCCATGACTGCTTTGTCAACGTACCCTCTTCTTCTAGTCCTGCTTCGGGTTTGTTTGGGACAGTTTATTTTGTGTGGTGGCTTTTTGAAAACGCATCTAGTCTGTTTGGGTTAACTGTGTTTTGAAAGCTTATAGGTTTTGAAAGCGTTTTCACAGCTTTCTGGCAGTGGTCTAGTATTTCCAAAAAAAATGAAAATTTGTAATGATCATCGCACCTAGCTTATCAACAGATTATTTTTAATAAGTTTATCTTCAGATTATCCAATAAGCTCTAGTTGCCCCCGAACAATTCATTTCAACAACTGTTGTAAGTTCATAATTCTGTAAATTAATATATGTGTTGCAGGGCTGTGATGGATCTCTGCTTCTTGATGACACGGCGAACTTTACTGGGGAGAAGAATGCAGTTCCGAACAAGAAATCTGTGCGGGGGTTTAATGTGATAGACAAGATAAAGTCTGCGGTGGAGAGAGCTTGTCCGGGAGTGGTGTCTTGTGCTGATATCTTAGCTGTTACAGCCAGAGATTCTGTGGTTATTGTAAGTTTCGGTGGTGTTGTTTTATTGATTATGGAGTTTAGTTAAGTTTTATTTATTGATGATTGAATGTGACTGCATGGTTTGTGTAAAAAATGAATAAATAAATAAAAGCTTGGTGGACCAAACTGGAATGTGAAATTAGGCAGGAGGGATGCGAGGACGGCAAGCCTAAGTGCAGCGAATAATAACATTCCGCAGCCGACATTCAATCTTAGTAGGCTTGTCTCTTCGTTTTCGGCTAAGGGGCTCTCTGCTCAGGAGATGGTTGCCCTTGCAGGTCTCTCTCTCTCTTACTTTCTCTCTCTTTTTCATGTATAAAGCTTAAACTTTATTTTTTACATGCATACCATCATAAAAAGGTGTGTTAAATATTTAAAAATTAAAATAATGATAGTTTTGATGTGGTATACAGATTAGAGTGGTATGATTGTAAAAGGTTAATGTATAGATGTTATGAATGTAAATACAAAGGAATTGGGTGGTATATATGTAAATGCACTTTCTCTTATGATGTAATTATATGGGGTGTAGCTGATGTACCATTTCTTTGGGTGATTTAGGCAACTTTTGAAATGATTTTAATTGTCTATAGTAGTGGTTGAAGATAGATCTACTGTACAAACAATGGCCTCTTCTTTTAAATGTTATGAATACTATTAAAAAAAATAAATAATTATTTTTCTTACACTTATTATTCTTTAACAAATTTGATTGTAACAAATTATGTCTAATTAGAGTTGTCAAACGGGTCAGGTTCGGGTCATACTCAAATTTGACCCAACTTGAACTCACACTAAGGTGTTAGAATTTGATTGAACCCAACTCATCTTCAACTCGATAGGCCTAAATTGAACCTGACTAACTTGGTTAAGATAAATATTTAAAATCATTTGACAAGTTTGGGTTATATTCGAATTAGAATTGGATATGCAGTCAGTCCGAGCCTAACTCAAAATTTCGAATTGGGCTACGTTTAGGAAAATTATTACATATGAATGATTTGTATTTTAACATGACAGACAAGAGTCAATCATTATTATGTCCTTACAAACAATTATCAATTATTTAATATTAAACTAAATCTACTTGCCTCACATGCTCTAACAACCTGCTAATAATAGAGCTTATACACAGCATTTATTCTCATCCTAAACAATAATTGATCTAATCAAATATATTTCCAGCTGCAATATTGTCCAATTTGGGCTTTGGTGTTCCATTCAAGTTCTATAAGAGATGAACTCATACTATTATTATTGATCAAATAGGTGCCCACACCATAGGGCAAGCAAAGTGCACCAGTTTCAGGGCCAGGATTTACAACGAGAGCAACATTGATAGCTCGTTCGCTCAATTGAGGAGGAAGAAATGTCGAATTAGTTCTAGAAACAATAGCCTCGCACCAATTGATCTACAAACCCCAACGTTCTTCGACAACAATTACTATAAGAATCTTATCAACTTGAAGGGTCTTCTTCATTCTGATCAACAATTATTTAGTAATGGCTCAACTGACTCCCAAGTTAGAAAATATGTTGCTCAACCGGCCACGTTCAGCTCAGATTTTGTTGCAGCAATGATAAAGATGGGTGATATAAGCCCTCTCACGGGATCTAATGGCGAGATCAGAAAGAAATGTAGGAAGATCAACTAATAGAAGAATAATTTTTGTCAAGATTATTTGAGATGGTTAATCTGAGCTCAAAGTATTTGGTCTTTGAATGTAAATGTTGGTTCATGAAAGTTGCCTATGTCAACTTTATGTTTGTGACGTGATTTTGAATTTGTACAACATGCTTTTGGCATATGCCTAAATTTTTAAAATTGAATTGTGGAGCTTAATTTATGGTCTTCATTTTTTTTTTTTTTTGGGTGTTTATTATGCTCTATCGGTGTTTATTATGCTCTATCATCATTATAAGATAATAAGCATTATAATGTTAAAAATTATCATCATGATAAAATGATTTTGGAATGTAAAGGACAAGATGATCCAAGGCATACTCATCAAAAGATAAATATTGATGACTTAATCATAATATGCATATTTATAGCAACCTAACGCATTCCCATTAATATGTGTTGAAGGTGATTAATAATATCAATGAGATTGTTAATGATTTTGTTTGTAATATGGTTTCTTAATTAATAGCATCATCTAATATTTTTAGGAAATGTTATTATATGCAATTTTCTCTGTTTTATCACTAAGTATAATATATGATGTATGAATTTCTAATTATGTAAATAATATAATTCTTCAACACCTAAATTACACATATAAGAAAAAAATCAATAATGATTAAATTGTGCTTGCTGAATGATATTTTGATAGGTTCCTTAGAGGCTACCATTATTGAAGTTTATAGCTCAAGAAATTTCTCCAACAAATGACACCATATGTTAACGTTGTATTTTTTATCTATATAAGAAGGTATGATAATCCTGTAACATCATATTTAATTTGGTTCAATTATTTGTGATCTAAGAAACCTTGGATAAATTATAATAATGTTCTCTTTAAGATTGTGATTTGTTGGTGCAATGATATGTTGGTACTTGACTTAACATGTAGTTTTTTTATTAATTATGATGCATGGGTCACCATATCTGAGTTTTAAACCTTAGACTGAGCAAATATTCATGAATTGAAAGTGGGTGTATAATTATAGATCTAGATATTATTTATATTAAAACATGAAGGTGTATTTTGTCCTTTAGATGGTAAGAGAGAGTGAATCTTATATTCTTATGTGCCTTAAGTATTGTGGGTACATATTCCTTGGGAATGTTTAGATCTTCAAAATTTCTGATTGGTTTATAATTTTCATGAGAGATGAGAGTAAAGGGATTTTAATTGCTATAAGGTACATTGATAGATAGGGTTACAAATGAATCACATTGAGCCAAGTCAAGCCAAGTTGGAGTTTGTTTGAGCTCAGGTTAGGCTTGATTTGAACTTTTCGGATAGTGTTCAAGCTTGAGCCTATTTATTAAAATTCTATTTGAGTTTCTTTTTAGCAAATAGTTCATGTAACAAAATAAGTAAATCATAATTGAGCTTTAATTGATCCTTAATGAAGCTTTACAAGAAGAGCTTATTTAAAAAATGAACGAGCCTTATCAAATAAATCTTGTTAAACCTAAAAATAAGCATGTAAATGATACAATTTACTATCATGTCTTAATTAAGTCATAATTGAGTGTTAATTAAGATCTATGATGGAATTGGTTCAAGAACTTTTAATGTTATTGTTTATGAACATAAATGAATAAAAAATTGAGTTATACAAACTTGCTCATTTAACAACTAATAATTTATGAAAGTTGATACACCATCAACAAATTTCCATCATCTGACGTGAATCTCAATGCATTGCATGAATCTTGAGGTAATTTTTTAGTAAGAAATGATTAACCTTCGATTAAAATTCATTCAAAACACTGATTCCAAAAAACATACAGTCAAACTAACCGATTCAATAAAACAGACCTAATGATACCAAGTTGATCAAATCTAAGTCAAATCAAGCCCTAATCAACCCATTAAACTACATTTAGGGGTTTTCCGTGCAACTATATATGTTGCTGCTACGAGCCAACTATGATCATCATCGACCTTCACCTGTCGTCCAACATCAACCGCCATTTGCCAGCCATCATAAATCGCCACCTGCTTCTTGCAGCAAAGTCTCTTTTGAAGTCACAATGTACGCTGTAGAATCCTAGCGCGCACTTCATAATGGTGAAAAACCCTACAGACTGGTAACAATGCACCATAGATACGATGTAATGACACCACTTGAATATGGTGTAACAACTCACCCTGGATATGATGCAATGACTCTTCTTGAAGATGGTATAACAATGCACCCCATAAATGGTGCAACAACCAACCCCAATTGGATACAATGTAACGACGCATCTTAAAGATGGTGTAACAATGCACCCCGAAGACGGTGACTTCTTCCAAACTCTTGAAGCTCTCTCATCACAGCTCACTGTTATGACCTACGTGACTAACTACAGTGTAATTCCCGACTTGCTCCTGTAGCTTATAGACATTATCCTAGCTCATCACTATGAACTACGTGACAAACTACAACATACATCTATAATGATCATCTTTATAACTCCATCTTCTCTAATTTCTGAGAAGATTGGGTCTATGTACTCACCATTTATAGCGTGTTCTTTCAACAAAGCTAGACTCTATGATTTTTTCGCCTTCTCATAATTTTCCACTTAAAAATTGAGGTATTTGTTTCTGTCAACTTTTTTTTCTCTGAGTGTGTTCTAGAATCTCGTACAATATTGAGACCCTAAATAATCATCATACCACCGCGAATATTCCAGCACACAAAAGTGTTGAATCTTATTTAATTATTTCTTAAAATGATCATGAATGCTATCTAATTAAATCGTGCTATTGCAGCTCAAACGTGAGGTGATATTTTATTTATTTATTAAGCGCATAAAAGAAAGTTAGTTTCTTGGTTGTATAAAAGTTTAAATTAAGTTTATTTTTTAGATGGTAGAAAAGACTTTGGATATTCTTTTTTTATTTTATTATTATTATTATTAGTATTATTATAATTATTTTGGCCTGAGAGATCGCTCATATATATTTTGTCCAGATAATTTTTGGCTTGACAATATTTCATGATGTTGAGGCCTTCTGGCATTGAGAGCTTAGAGTGCTTCTCCTAAGGAGGGTCACCAAATTATCTAATTTTTGCTGATTCATATATACAAATATTATCTTACTGTTGAACTTATATTTGCCCTAATATCACACCTAAGAAATAAAGCCTCTAGAAAGAGAGAGCACAGGAAGAGAGGGAGAGAAGAAGAGAGACGAGAAAATAATATCGTTGAGACCAGAATAGACAAGATGAAGAAAATAAAAAGAGTTTTGCTCAAACTTCCCCCAAAAAGAGAATTTGGATCTCGTTTACATTTAATACCCCCTATTTACAGGAGTTGGCTCTTACAAAATGTCATATTTAGCCTTATTGTCCCTAGACTTTTAGATGTATGAGTGTCTACTTTGATCATATCTCATGTTGTAAAATCATGATCATGGGGGCATCTTCTTCTTGTTGACCATCCCTATAAGGTGATAGGACATTCGCAAGAAATCCGTAGTGGTCGGACTCTGGTGGTCGACTGGATGTGATCTGCCTTTGGTGGATGTTTGGTCGTGACCATTCGTCGTGATCATCTTTTAGTGGCAGAGCAGTAGTGGCCGACCTTAGTGGCCGACTCTTCACGATCGACTTTTTTGCATGAACGCTTCATCGGCTCATCTTCAATCCTCCAACGTCTCGGGTCAGTCCTTTATAATGCATGAGATTCAGATTCATAATCTTGAGAATTTCAAAATCCATCACTAGATTTGAGATCATTGAATTAATGGCATGTAATAACCATAGGAAAATCATGTAATGATTTAAGCAATGCGATCAAGAAGTATCCGAACTTTTGTACGGTCTCATTGCTCCTCACATGTCAAGCTTGGTTGTTGCGTTCTTAATCAAGAGGGAAAAGGGATATTTACATACATACCACTCAATTCATATTAATTTACATAAGGAACCCCTAAACTTTGCCTATTTTTACATTTCTACTCCAATAATCTTTCATATCACATAAAAAATACCACCATTTTAACTTCTAAAAAGTGAAATACACCTTTCATACTTGGGTAAGGTAGCGTGTATATAAAAATTGAAGTTTTGGTGTTAGATATGTATAAATACATAGGAATTGAGTGGCATGTATGTAAATCTTCCAAAAAAAATTATTGCGTGTGAGGTTCTCACTTGGTTATGTGGCTAGTGAGTTTCTTCATTTGTGTGGCTATAATTGTGATTTTAAGAAAGTAATTAACAAGTGTTTTTTTTATTATATATTTCTTATTTGTAGATGGTATCATCCTCAAATAACTTAAAAATGAATGCTTTCGGCTTCAAATTATAACGTCCAGCTTCAGCTCAAAACTACAGAAAACCCTCCAATGCATCAATAGTCCTGAAACTATAAATACATCAAAAGTAATCAGAGGAATTCAGAACATGTGTATTATCTACCCCTGTTCTATTACAACCTATGTATGTATGTGTGTGTGTGTGTTTGTGTGTGTGTGTGTCATAGTATATGATTCTAACATAATATTAGAAATGTAGACAGGTATACAATCCAGATTGTATTTAGAGAAATTGGAGGTTGTTGTGGCCAGCATATTGTGAGAAATCAGTTATGGTAGAATGCATGAACTGTTGCTTTGCATTAATAGCTTGCCACTGTCCCTAAAATTGATGATTTGTATGAGATATCAATTTGCTTCGATATGTATGGAAGTGACTTGTCGGGAGACTCTTGGTTAAAATGTCAGCTAAATGGTCTTTTGTGTTGTATGATGCACGATAATCTAATGTGAGCAGATATAGTCACCGAAAAAGAGAAAGCCTATATCAATATATTTTGTATGAGAGTAAAACACTGGGCTATTAGCTAATGCAATGGGTGAGATGTTATCGCTCCTTTATATTTTAGGAATAGTGGTAGATAGTCTAAATTTAGTAAGCAACCCGTGAATACATACGAGATCATTTGTGGCAGTTGCCAAAGCTCGAGATTCAACTTTGGTGGATGAGCGAGTGACAATTGTCTATTCCTTTATGGTCGATGAGATTAAGGATGAACTTAGGTTTGCACAATAGCTTGTTGTGAGTTTCCAATTAATAGAGACTCTGGGCCAGTCAGAGTCTGAATATAATTATAAATGCAGCGTGTCACAAAAATAGGAAGACCATAAGCTATAGTAGCTTTAGCATACCAATTGTAGAATCATGCATGCCTTGGCATAGTCTATTAACCACAAATAAAATATATGGGTGTGTTACAGTTGGACCCACCAAAGGATGATAAAGTGTTGAAGAAATTGTTGGAGAGGTGACTGTCGTAGATGTATTTCTTATGATTGTTGGGTTTTACAAAGATTTACAATTCATCATATTTGTTTGGCTCAGGGTATCTAGTGCATCCTTTAACTGATTCAAATAAAGTCCATAGGATTGAATTAAATAGTGGATGCCCAAAAAGTAGACTAAATCACATATTGTTTGCATGTTGAAGCATTTATGTAAATTGGCAATAAATTTGGAAGTATTAGAGCTATTTTTTTCTTGTAAGTAGAATATCATCAAGATATATAACAAAATAACTGGTTGTATTATGTTGATGATAAATGAGTAATGATGGAGTTGCCTGAATTTGAGCAAAACCTAGCGACTTGAGATTTTCTAAAAGTGTAGCAGACCATTAACGAGGGGACTATTTTAAACCATAAATTGCCTTGTGTAATAGGCAAGCGTAATGCGGATGTCTCTACTCTATGAATCTCAAAGGTTGTTGCATATATATGTTTTCTTGAAAAGATCAATGTAGAAAAGCGGTAAACACATCAATTTGAGTGATCTTCCATCCATGATGCATAACAACCATGAAAATGATTCTAATAGTAGGCATTTTATCTTTGAGACTGGAAGTTTCAGTACAATCATTTCTAAATTCTTGTATGTTTCCTTATGCCACCAAACGAGCTATATAATGAATAGTGTGAATGATTGAATTATGTTTAGTGTGGTAGAACCATTCTATATGTATGTATGTATATGCATATGTGTGTGTGTGTGTGTGTGATTTTAACATAAGGTTAGAAACAATTTTCATTTGTTGATAGGTGTATGATACATATTATGTTTAGAGAAACAGAAATGTTTAGAGAAACAAAAGCTTGTTGTGGTCCGTCCATTGTTAGAAATTAGTGATGGTGTAATGTAGGATTTGTTATTATACTTGAATAGTTGTTCAAAATACTGTAGTATTTACATTGTATTTTCTGACATTTATGTTTTATGTTAAGAATATTGATTTTAATCTTGGTGATACTTTTGCTTGTCTGTCGCCACTTCTCATTCCAATAATTAAATCTATCAATTATTTCATACTAAAGAAGAGTTAAAAGTAATTTGATATTCTAGTATCAATTTTGTTTCTTACCCAAAAAATTTAATTATACAAGAGGCAATGAACGGCCTATAGTTTTACCCAAATATTTTTAACCAATTTTGTAACATGAATCTCAACTCTAAATAAACCATTAGCTCTATTACTAGTGAAGTAGTATGGACCCAAATGAGATCAAAATTTGGCCTAATACAAAAATAATCTAACTCATTCCTATTCCCTCAAAACTTAAGTCTATTGTTGAAGATGGACAATGTTTGGTAATTATACATATTATAAATCAATATTAAGAAAAAAAAAATTTAAAATGTAGCAGTCAAGTTTAAGTTTGTCAAAAAATGACCAGAGTAAAAATATTTATTTCAAAGTTGACTAAATGAAATATGTTAACAATCTTAACCCAACGTTGCTCGACATGATATGAATAGAAGAAGCACTTACGTTTTGACAATTAAGCAACAACTTAATTTAAATTTGATGTGATGACCCAATGTAGTTGAAAACCCTAGAAAATAATGTAACTTTATTATTGAATAAAAATTATTTAATAGAAACTTATTAGAAGGGTTAAGTTTAGATTATTGAATTGACTCAAATCCAATCCAATTTTCTTCGAGACTATTTCAAAGTTGACTCAAATCCAATGTAGATTAAACTCAATCCTGACATTTATATTAGTTTTTGTTTTAATTTGATCAGATTTTGACACCCTTAACTAAATCAAATACTCCCGTGTGGTTTGATAATTGCTCTCCTTCATTCTTTCATATTGAATCCTCCAGGCAAGTCCACCAACATCCGTTGAACTCCACTAAGTGCCCTTTATCTTAATGTAGATTTAAGTACCCTCGATTAGGGGTGTAAATGAGCCGAACAGGAGCGAGTCAAGCTCAGCTCGTGTTCGGCTCGTTTATATTTCGAGCTCAAAAAGTGTGTTCGTGTTCGGCTCGTTTGCTTAGCGAGCCGAACACGAGCTGTTCGACTCTTTTGCTTAGCGAGATGAACACAAACCGGTCACGAACAAAGAGCCGTTTTGACAACCCTAATCACTTAGCCAAAAGATGTTAAGGATTGGGGCAATATTTAAAAATTATTATTTATATTAAAATATCATTTGAATCTAATTTAATAATTTTCATTATATTTTTTAATTAACATAATCAATATATATTATATATATACAAATCTTTATTCGTGCTCAGCTCGTTAAGTTAGTGAACGAGCCGAAGACGAGCTTCTTAACGAATCGAACACGAGCTGCTTGCGAATAATATTCGCACGAGCCGCTTTGACAGCCCTACCCTCGAGGAATATTGTATTAAGGATCTAGGCACTAGACATATAATAAATTTCAAAAGAACAAAAGCTATTTTCGTAGAATGAAAATACAATTCAGGAGTTTCCGGTTGAGGAGAATTGAGATTGAAAATGAAAAATTTTAAGCTTTCTAATGCTCTTAAAATACTTAAAACTTTGCTTATATAATCTCTTATAATAAATCAATTTACTTAAAAAAAAAACAAAAAAGAAACTTATCTTGCTTTTTCCGACCATTAAAAATAAATAAATTTGAGAAAAAGAAAAGCACACCAAACATGGCCTAACTTCTAGGGAAGCATGTCAAACCAAACTCAAGTCTTTCTCCATGCAACGTAAAGCATTAAACACCTTTCGAATCCCCAACCCTCCATAAAAATCCATCATTTCTAATAAAGTACTCTCTTTTTCTCAAAACCTAACAACAATATACAAAAAAATAACAGAAAAACAGAGCGGCCGTCCTGTTACCCTCAGCTCTTGACAAGTATCAAAACCTCCACACTTTTATTCAAACTCCTCAATGTGAAATCTTCAGTTTTCTACGTCCCCCAAACTCAAAATTCAATTTTTGTAATCTTTTTCTAATAATTAGGTGCCTACCTCCCCTGTTTCTGCCGCCATAGAAGAATCAAATAATCAATCCTCTGCTCTATAAATACCCACAAAAATCAAACCTTCGTGTTCTCAAGCCAAATACAGTTTTTTACGAGTAATCAATGGCTTCTCCCCTTCAGTGCAGCATCGTTGCTCTGCTTCTTCTGTTCTGTTTGAGGAGTTCCTCTGCTCAGCTCTCGACCAATTTCTATTCCACATCCTGTCCGAATGTGCTCTCCACCGTTCGATCGGTCGTTCAGTCTGCAATTTCTAGTGAGAGAAGAATGGGCGCTTCTCTTCTTCGTCTCTTCTTCCATGACTGCTTTGTGAATGTACGTTGTTCATAGTATAAACTTCCAGATTCATATAATAGTGATTAGGTTGTTTATAAGCAGTAAAAAATAAAAATTTAACTATAATTAGAGCTTAACGGCCGGCTTCTCATCACATGGATGGCAAGTTGACCGTCTATTTTTTTGGGCATTTACATACATGCCTATCAACTCTTATGTATTTACATATCTAACATCTATAATTTAATCTTTTTTTCATTTATATCTTTCAAACCTGACGTATGACATAAAAATACAATCATTTTAACTTTTGAAAGTGAAATTAACTATTTTCTTGCTTAGGGAAGGTTGCATGTCTGTAAAAATTAAATTTTAAGTTATGGTATGTAAATCTTTAATATTATTTTTTTTTTTATAACACCCACCTCTTATGTATTTACATATGTAACAAAATTAAATTTTTTTTTTTTATAGCATTCAATTCTTCCATATCAAATCAAAAATAGCATTATTTTAACTTCTCAAACGTGAAATAGAACTTTTCATGAATAGTAAGGTTGACATTTGTATATAATAATTGAAGTTTGGGTGTTAGATATGCATGTAAGGATATATTTCACTCTCTTAAAGTTAAAATTATGCTATTTTGATCTGATAGGAGAGATTTGTGTGTTATAAATATAAGAAATATTATAATTTTAAAGTAAAATTAGTTCAATCACTTCCCTAAAGAGCTCAATACTACTTGGCCTATAGCCTTTAAATTATTATTTAAGCTTTTTTAATCGCTTCTCTTAACTCTGCCTCCTAAAGGCTAACTTACTGCCTTATGCTTCAGGGTTGTGACGCCTCTTTGCTTCTTGACGACACATCAAACGACACGCCAAACTTCACCGGAGAGAAAAACGCAATCCCAAACAGAAATTCTGCCAGAGGTTTCGAAGTCATTGACAGAATTAAAACAGCGGTGGAGAAAGCTTGTCCTGGAGTGGTCTCCTGTGCTGACATCTTAGCCATCACAGCAAGAGATTCTGTAGTCACTGTAAGCACTTTTAGTGACACTTTCTACAGATAATTAAGTTAATAATAACTACTAATTAAACATTAATTTATCGCTTAAAGCTTGGAGGACCAAACTGGCCCGTCAAATTAGGCAGAAGAGATTCCAGAACTGCAAGCCAAGGTGCTGCTAATAACAACATTCCACCTGCAACCTCCAGCCTTAGTAATCTCATTTCTTCATTTTCAGCTCAGGGGCTCTCTGCTAAGGACATGGTTGCCCTTGTAGGTGGGACTCTCAAATTTTTGTTCGATCATGTTCAGTTTGATAATCATAAGCCAAGCTCAAACAAAATTTCTTGTGTTTTCACCCTAGTTAATACTAACATGATACAAATGCAACAGGTGCCCATACCATAGGACAAGCCAGATGCACAAATTTCAGAGCAAGGATCTACAACGAGAGCAATATTGACCCCTCATTCGCGCAATTAAGAAGGTCGAGTTGTCCCCGTAGCTCCGGCGACAATAACCTCGCACCGTTGGACTTACAGACTCCGACAAACTTCGATAATAACTATTACAAGAACCTCGTGAGCCTGAAAGGTCTTCTTCATTCTGATCAGCAGATCTATAGTAATGGCTCGACTTTCTTTAACTCTCAGGTTCAGAGCTATGCGACTAACCCAGGAAGTTTCAGCTCCGATTTCGTCGCTGCGATTATAAAGATGGGTGATATAAACCCTCTAACTGGTTCTAATGGCGAGATCAGAAAGAATTGCAGGAAGACGAACTAGAAAGAAGGAATTTTGGGTTATTATAGTTTGTGACTGATAGTTGGTTATGTGGTCTTTTAGTATGTCTTATTTTGTTGTTTGTTATAGATGTTGGTCCATATATTAATATAGAAGTTGTTTGTGTTAGCTTTAGTGTTTGTGATGCAATTTTGAGTTGTTATGTGAGTTTGTGTGACACTTTTTTAAAGTATTTGAAGTTTTATTTTCTTTTTATATAAATGAAATAAATATTATATGAAATATAAATCATTTGTGTATTTATACTTCTTTCAGTTATTATAATTCCATGCATGTAAAATAATAATTATCTCTTATTTGAAATTTATCGATTTTAAATGTGATAGATTTTAAATAAAAGAAAAATATTATTTTATGTTGTTGGAGCTTGAGTTTAACAATATTGATCTAATCTAAGTCAAATCAAGCCCTAATCAACCCATTGAACCCCATTTAGAGGTTTTTCGTGCAACTCTATCCGCTGCCGCTTCGATCCAATTGTGACCATAATCGAGCGCCACCTGTAGGTCATCGTTGACCCCCATTTGCCAGCCATCATAGACCGCCACCTACTTCTTGCAACAAAGTCCCTTTTGAAGTCACAATGTGGCTGTGAAATCCTAGTGCATGTTACAACACGGTGAAAAACTCTATAGATAGTGTAGAAATGCACATCGGATACGATTAACATCATCTCCCAAATATGGTATAACAACACACTCTGAATACGATGTAATGACACCTCATGAAGACGGTGTAACAATGTACCCCAGAAGCGATGCAACGACCTACCTTGATGATAGTGTAACAACACACCGAGGACATAGTGTAAAAATGCATCTTAAAGATGGTGTAATAATGCACCCTCGTGATGGAGTTAATATTAATTTGATTTGCTAGTGTCAAATTTGTTGTGCAACTCCCGACTTTTGCCCCTATATCCTACAAGCCTCATCCCAGCTCACCACTGTAATCTATGTGATGAAGTACAACATACATCTACGATGATCATCTTTATAACTCCATCTTATTTAATTCAAAAAAAGATTGGGTCTGATTACTCACCATTCATAGAGAGTTATTTCAACAATGCTAGATTATGTGATTTTTTCCACTTCTTAGGATTCTCCACTTAAAAATTAAGGTATCTCTTCTTAACTACTTCTCTTTTTTTATCTAAGTGTGCTGGAATCTCGTACAATGCTAAAATTATAAATAATCACTCTACCACCGCAAACCTTTTAGCACACCAAATTTTAAAAGCGCATAAAAAAGTTAGTTTCTTGGTTGTGAAAAGTTTAAATTAAGCTTATTTTTGAGATGATAGAAAAATTTCCGATAACCTTTATTATTATTATTATTATTATTATTATTATTATTATTATTATTATTATTATTATTATTATTATTATTATTATTATTATTATTATTATTATTATTATTATTATTATTATTATTATTATTATTATTATTATTATTATTATTATTATTATTATTATTATTATTATTATTATTTAGTATAAAAACTTCGGATAATCAGAGGCATCAAATTTGCTTCTTATAGTTTATTATATTTCTTGATTGTATAATTGTGTCTTTTAAGACGAGGAGACAACCACATTATGGATGCAAAAATTCAGTAATATGTGCTGATTTAAGTTTAGTGATACTACTTTAGAGTATAGTTCATGGTCTCTCTTTTTTTTTTTTTCACAGAGATCGCTCATAGATATTTTTAGGGAAATTGAAGCTTGTTGTGGTCCGTCCATTTTCAGAAAATAGTTAAGATGGAATGTAGAATTTGTTATCATGCTACAATAGCTTGTCAAACTATCGGTGTATTTACATTGTTTTTCCTCACATTTATGATTTATGTTTAGAACACTGATTTTAATCTTAGCGATGCTTTTCCATGTTTGTCGGCACGTCTCATTCCAATGATTAAATCTCAGTTATTTCATACTAAAGAGGAGTTAATATTAATTTGATTTGCTAGTGTCAAATTTGTTGTTTACCCAAAAACTTTAATCGTACAAGAGGCCTATTCATTCAACCCAAATACTTTAAACTAATTTTGTAACATGAATCTCAACTCCAAATAAACCATTAGCTCTGTTATTAGTGAAGTAGTATGGACCAAAATGAGATGAAAGTTGGGCCTAATACACAAATAATCTAACTCATTACTATTCTCTTAAAGCTTAAATCTATCTATGAGGGCGGACAATACTCGGTAATTATAAATCAATATTCTTTAAAAAAATTTAAAATGTGTCAAGTCAAGTTTAAGTTTGACAAAAAAAGGCTAGACTAAAAAAACAATCATTTAAAGCTAGACTAATTGAAATAAGTTAACAAATCTCAAACCAATGTTAGTCAAAATAATATGAATATATTAAGCACTTACATGTCTTGACAATTCAGTAACAACTCAATTTAAATCTGATGCAATGACCTATTTGTAGTTGAAATGATTAGAAAATAATGTAAATTTATTATTGTATAGAAATAATTTAAAAGAAACTTATTAAAATGTTTAAGATTAGATTTATTTAATCAAGCCAATTTCATTTAAATTTTCTTTGAGATTATTTAAAGGTGACTCGTATCCGAGAAAGATTAAACCCGATCCTAACATTCATTTTTAGCATTTTTTTTTTCATTTGATTAGATTTTGACACACTTAATCTAAATTCAATACTACCGTCTGCTTTGATAATTTCTCTCCTTCATTCTTTCATGTCAATTTCAAAAGAACAAAAGCTATTGTAGTTGTGTAATCATAGATGAGAAATACAATTAAGGAGTTTCTTGTTGAGTATAATTGAGATTGAAAAAAATATATTATAAGCCTTTTAAAGCTATTAAAATATTTAAAATTTACTTATATATTAGTCTTATAATAAATAAATTTACTTCAAAAAAAATAAAAATAAATTTATCTTGCTTTTCCCGACCATTTAAAAAAATAAAATTGAGAAAGAAGAAAATGATAACAAACATGGCCTAACAAAAGTCTAACTCTTTCTCCATGCATCGTAAATCATAAAACACCTTTCAAGTCCCCCACCTTCCATTAAAATCCATCATTTCTAATACAGTACTTCTCTTTTCTCAAAACTTCACAACAATATTAAAAAATGATAACAGAAAAGCTAGAGCTGCCGCCCTGTTCCCCTCAGCTCTCGACAAGTATCAAAACCTCCACACTTTATTCAAACTCATCAATGTGAAATCATCATTTTTCTACGTCCCCCTAACTCAAAATTCAATTTTTGTAATCTTTTTCTAATGGATTAGGTGCATGCCTCCCCTGTTTCTGCCTCCGTAGAAGAATCAAATAAATCAATCCTCTGCTCTATTCTTCTACCCCTACTGTTCTATAAAAACCCACAAAAATCAAACCTTTTGTGTTCTCGAGTCAAATACAGTTGTTTACGAGTAATCAATGGCTTCTCCCCTTCACTTCAGTATCGTTGCTCTGCTTCTTCTGTTCTGTTTGACGAGTTCCTCTGCTCAGCTCTCCTCGAATTTCTATGCCACAACCTGTCCGAATGTGCTCTCCACCGTTCGATCGGTGGTTCAGTCTGCAATTTTTAGTGAGAGAAGAATGGGTGCTTCTCTTCTTCGTCTCTTCTTCCATGACTGCTTTGTGAACGTACGTTGGTCGTTCATAGTATAAACTTTCAGATTCATATATTAGTGATTCAAGTGTCTTGCTCTATGGTTTTGGATTAGGGTAAGATCATACTTAATATTAAGAAAACCACTTGTGGAATGATTCATCTGAAACTTGGTAGATTTTTTTTCTTTTTTGAGTACAGAAAACTTTAAATATTTGAATGGCTTAGATTGAACTTATTATAGAGGGCGTGTGGTCAGCGAGTTAGGGTTGATGTTGACTTATTTTCAAAGGAGAGTCGGATTGAGTAACCTCTGGCCAGAAATATTAGGCCAAATATATATATATATATTGTAAATATCAATCTTTTCCGTGATTTCTATGTAATTATCCCAAATATATATATATATATATATTCTTAAAATAAGTTAATTAGCATTAAAAAAATGTAACTAATTAAATTGAGTTTAACGGGCGACTTCCTATCCCATGCCTAATCATTATTTTAACTTTTCAATATAACTTTTCATGCATGGTAAAGCTGACATTTGTGTAAGAATTAAAGTTCTGGTGTTAGATATGTAAATACAAAAGGCTTGAGTGGTATTTATGTAAAGAAATATTTCACACTCTTTTAAAGTTAAAATGATGGCGTTTTTTACCTCGATATGAAATATTTGTGTGGTATAAATGTAAATGTAATTTTCTCTTAAAGTTAAATTAGTTTAATCACTTCCCTAAAGAGCCCAACACTACTTGGCCTACAGTCCTTCAAATATTTTAAGCTCTTTTAATCGCTTATACTCCTAAAGGCTAACGTTCTACCATCTGCTTCAGGGTTGTGACGCCTCTTTGCTTCTTGACGACACGCCAAACTTCACCGGAGAGAAAAACGCAATCCCAAACAGAAATTCTGCCAGAGGTTTCGAAGTCATTGACAGGATTAAAACTGCGGTGGAAAAAGTTTGTCCTGGAGTGGTATCCTGTGCTGACATCTTAGCCATCGCAGCAAGAGACTCTGTAGTCACTGTAAGCACTTTTAATTACACTTTTTACAGCTGATTAAGTTAATAATAATTACTAATTAAACGTGAATTTATCGCTTAAAGCTTGGAGGACCCAACTGGTGTGTCAAATTAGGCAGAAGAGATTCCAGAACTGCAAGCCAAGGTGCTGCTAATAACAACATTCCACCTGCAACCTCCAGCCTTAGTAATCTCATTTCTTCATTTTCAGCTCAGGGGCTCTCTGCTAAGGACATGGTTGCCCTTGTAGGTGGGACTCTCAAATTTTTGTTCGATCATGTTCAGTTTGATCATAATAAGCCGAGCTCAAACAAAATTTCTTTTGTGATTTCACCCTACTTAATACTAACATGATACAAATCAAAACAGGTGCCCATAGCATAGGACAAGCCAGGTGCACAAACTTCAGAGCCAGGATCTACAACGAGAGCAATATCGACCCCTCATTCGCGCAATTAAGGAGGTCGAGTTGTCCCCGTAACTCCGGCGACAATAACCTCGCACCGTTGGACTTACAAACT